TAGCGGGGAGTATCGGCTGTCATCGCGTCAGCAAACAGTCGTCGCTGGCCGGCTGGCTCACCGCGCGGCGTCAGCTTGGTGTACAGCTGCGAGTTCATCTCCTTGTCCCGCTGGTGGCGCCGCACCTCGTCCACCGCCTCGCGCGCCATGGTGAGGGCCAGCACGAAGCCCTGCAACCAGGCAAGACACGCCGGGGTTTCAATAAATCCACTCTTCAAGCACGAAACGTGCTCGACCTACACTGGATTCTGAATGATTACATAAAGAAGATTGTTGTTTGATTCCTCAATTATTGAGTCATTGCGTAGTCTCATAAAAACTGATTTTGTGGTTTGGGAATGAAGAGTTGATATGTGGTGCAAGTATTATTGTAGTCCAGTTGGGGGTCATCATCGTCACCTTCCACATTGTAATAGCCGTGACTTTCAGTGTGTGTGGCTTTAAAAGGCTTGCTGGCTCGTTTTAAAGGAGGAGCACATTACTTGTCCTTCAGCCCAGAGTGAGAAGGCGAGAAAGGATTTACCAAGGGCGCCCAGTACGTGTACAAGTATCCGATCTTCAGCGAGGGCACAAACTGCGAGCAGGCCACCACCAGGAAGTAGAGATTGAGGAAGAACTTGAACTGCTGGTAGAGAACCTGAGGACAAAGATGCCAACCGTCATGACGGATGCGAGAACAGCTCGCATTTGTGGGTTTTTAAGGAAGACTTGGTTGAGACATCACACGTAGGACTGCTCTCGCTAATGGGCTCCAAGATCACACTTTGAATCATGCTTGTAATAATGAGAGAGTGGCAGCCAATCCCGATCAATAGGTGCTTAATGAACCCCCGTGACCTTTAGGGGGGCGAGGGGAAACCCGTGCTAAACTCAATTTGCGCATGTTTAAAAATTCAAAGCGCAGAGAGACGAACGGCGTATTTGTTCAGAATATGGACAACTCCACTGGACAGGTGACATTATACGGCTGGGGAAGTGAATGAGCCTTCTTAATTGCGGTGCCGTTTGCTTTTTAAGAAGTACGCCTGCCCCGCAGTGTGAAAACTCAATGACGAGTCACCAACTAGCATGATAATATGCACCGGAAGCCGGGGAAGAATGACTTCACGTTTTCCGCTGAAGGCCATTTTGAGAAAAGTTGAAGCATATTTACCGCATATCTCGCAAGATTAAACCAGACCAGACCAGACAAGTAATTGGAACAGCTGAGATGGTGCCTTTGAGCAATGCAGGGAAACCCCATCTCCAAAAAAAAAAAAAAAAAAAAGTGAAATCCAAAAGTCAAGCCATTACCCCAGGCACAAAGGTGAAGAAGTTGTACTTCTGGTTGCGGATAGAGTTTTTTGGGAACTTCTCCTCGCACTTCTCCGGGTGGCCGAGCCAGACGGTGCGAGCCTTCAGCTCCTTCTTCCGCCGACACATTCGGACAAGGCAATCGCAGCAGCTGTTGGGGTTGCAGGGGGGGAGTCGACACAACGCACAATTTTAATCCGCAGTGACGCACGGTGAACACACAACAACAGCTGAAGTGTATTTGGCCCTTGCATTGTTCTCACCTTAAAAATTTGAATGATTTGGAGGAAAGATCGTCACAGGATGCCTCAGTTATTGCATAGCTTAACATTGTAGAATCAATAGACATCTTAGGTTGGGCTTTGAACTCTAATGGCGCTCGCAGCTGCGTTAGGGCGCATCAAAGTTATTTACAAATCGTCAGTGCTCCTATCTTTTAGTTTATTTTTATTTTTTTTTGCCATCGCTCAAATAAATTAGCTATTTTTCATTTTCCACATGAGGGCTATTTGGCACGGTGAGGTGAAAAGTTTAGCGTCTCCGCCGGAAAAGAAAACGTTCACGGTTCAATTTGCTCCGCAAAGCCCGGCCAGACAAAAACACACGCTGTGCTTCGGTGGCATCTCCAGACACATTTCATCCTTGTTTGCCATTAGCGAACCGTTGCTAACGTGCGGGGATGCCCCCCGCCCACCACCACCACCACCGATTAGATTGATTTATTACAGCGAGGCAAACAAAAATTCAGGTTTGACTTTGTATCACTATCCATCCACCTGCTAATAATGACACTGTGGCTTATCCAAAGCATGAAATACAAACAGTGTGTGTCACCGCGTGATACATAAAACGGGCCTTCTCAAACTGGGAGCCATAGCTTTTGGGGGCTCCACCAAATAATTTGCAGTAAATTATTTTGTCATAATAAATAAAAGATGAAATGAGTGGAATATAACACTATTTTTTTCCAAGAAAAAAAAAGGTGTTCAGAAAATAAAAGGTGTATTTTATTGAGAGGAAAAGGTTTTTTTTTTTAAGAGAACAAAAGTAGATTTCTCCAAAATAAAAGGTGTACAATTATGAGATTAATGTTGTACTTTTTTTTTTTTAATCACTTGGTAAAATACAACTTTCCTCCTACAAATGAACTTTTTTTTTATTCTCACCGGAGACTAGAGGGATTCTGTCCCCAAAAAGTTTTCGAACCCCTGACACAAAGTAGCTACAGTGTCACCTCACCAAAGTGTACATCGTCATGGTGATTGACTTGGCTTTTCCACCTATTAAGCAACAAAAAAAAACCCCATCAACTTTGGCTGTGACAACTTTTGACCGTGTTTGCGTTGGAGGCGATGCGCCGCCTCAGTGCGCTCGGCATCCCGATTCATACGCCAGATTATTTGAGCAAATGAATGCTATTTAAATAACAGCGCCATTTGAACAGCGACGGCTTAGTCGGGTCGTGAATTATTTGCCTTTTATAATCCCGCGCAGTGCACACACAAAATTACTGGAAAGCATCAAACTGGTCAGCTGTGAAAAATCCAATTTGTTCATTAGCGAGGTGGTGCACAGGAGCAGGGGGTGTGGGGGTGGATGGGAGAGCTGAGATCGATTCGGCTGGAGACGCACCGCTGGCGACAACCTAACGCCGAGCGGTCTTTGAAACTTCGTTGTATCGGCGTGAAAATTATCTTTGGATCAAAAGCTGCCGAACGCGTGTCGGGCGGCAAAAACAGTGACCTCAATGGTGACTTTGCGCTTCATGCACAGCTACCGGTGCATTGGAAATCCAAATTGGCACGCCCGTGTACATGCATCTGTTTTTTTATGCCAGTTTACCGTTGACAGAATGAAAAAAAGCTTCACAAAATGTGTTTGAAGCTAAATAAAGGGCGGAGAAGCATAAACAGGACGTGGATCCCATTAAAAAATTTTAAATAAAAAAAGCGCATTTACATGTGTCACAAATAAGCATATGCCCAACTACTTGGGTTCCTAAACAGACTGTGAAACACATACTTTTAATCTGTGTGTCAATAATAAAAGTAAGAAAAGTCTGACCTAACTAGCTAGGTGCCTGAACAGGCTTGTCAACCACATCAAAAGTAAAAGCAAAGAAGACAACAGAGGCACGTTTTGATTTGAATTCATAATGTAGATTATTAGTATGTAGATTAAAATGATTCATGCCCGGCTAGTTGGCTGCCTAAACAGGCTGCTAAACACAAGTAATCATGAAGGTGAAGACAATGGAGGGGTTTTCGGATTTTCATATGTCATGCATCAATATGTGGTGCATTGCAAATAATTAAGGCCTCACTAGTCAGTTCCAAAAGTCACATCAGAACGAGCGGAAATGCTAATTGAAAGTCAACGGAAAGCTTGGAAGGTGGACACGGACAAACCTTTCACAGAGGACTCTCCACCCGCCGAAGAGGAACCACCTGAGGCCTCGCCGTCTGAGACTGACTCGGGCCCGCGGCAGCGTTTCGTAGTCGCTTTCGTCGTTCTCAAAGGCCTCGTCGGACATCATCAGCGGCATCTCATCCAGGCCGGACGCCTCATCGTTGATGGAGAATCTGCCAGCATTTGAAACACACTTGAAGGATCTCACATTGGAGTGTGAGTCATCATTGACTTTGTTTGTTTTCCAGCTCAAGCAAACACACTTGGAGTGTACTTAAGAAACCTGTTATGCGAATGATGCGGCTGAATGGAACATGCAACACTCCTCTTCCAACCTGACAGACGACTATTAATATTCGTTAGTGAATAGACCTTAAGATGGAGTGTGAGGGCCTAAGCATTATGAATATGAATTCATGACTGCAATGTTTTATCTCAAGATGAAAGTGCGGATCTTCTTCCACACTTTGGAAAAGTGGTCATACCCAAAACAACCTGGATGTTGATATATCTAAGTATTGATCAACCAAGTGAACACCGCCATGTAATAAAGCCTACAGTGGCCTAAATGGGCTGCAAGATGTATACAAAGTAATACATAAAGAAGAGAACGATGACAATCCAATGATGCTTCCATTTGGTGTCTTCTTCGCATGCGGTAGCCTGTCCAGGCGGCCGACTTGTCGAGCCTAAATTTTCTGTACCATATTACTACATCATGTATCATAATCCAATAACATTATGGTATTCTCTGTGTTTATTTTGATATCTGACAGCCTGTTTAGGCAGCAAAATAGTTATGCAATGTAATATATCACCATATTTAATAATCCAATCATGGTTCCATTGATGTCTTATTCGTGTTAACTTCTGATGTGTCGGTAGCTGATTAGTCGGGCCAAAAAACTACGCAACAATACAGCGTATCACCTATTAAAATCCACTACTAGATCCATTTTTGTTTACTTGGTGCTTACATTGGCGGGGGTTGATCGCCTATTTTGGCAAGCTGAATAGTCGAGCCTAAAAATGTGTATCACCTATTAAAGTATACTAACAGCTCAATTTTTGTCATCTCGGTATTGACATTTGCGGGCGTCTTGTTTTGTCAGTCGACTAGTCTGACCGGAAAAAAAAAGTGACACTATCAAAACCCTTTTTCGTTGCGATCTCGTTGAGTTGTTCAAAATGAAATCCTCGTGACTCCCGTCCACAAGTAGTTAATGTGTATGTAAGAAGCCAACACAACCCTTGTTCGGCTTTTTGTAAGGAAAATGAAACTTATTTTTTTTGCACCGATGTTGTGGCGGCTCTCGTCAAAAAGACCGGTACAGTATTAGCCTTTTGATAGCCCTAGTTTAAAGTCCGTTCGAAGAAAGTCATTACCTACAACTCTCATGATTAGCGCAGCGGAGGTAACTGTGACTTCCGAGGCAGACTATAATAACGCTGAAAATATCAAAGCGAATAAATGATGGATTTCACTCGCCGCTTGCCGGCTGTCACCTGCCATCCAAAACAAGACAAAAAATGGGACGGAAGTTGACAACACCGAGGATGCTAGGCTAAGCTAGGTTAGGCTAGCCGCACAAGCGAAGAGCCTCGCCATAGTAAACACGCGCATAAACGCACGCCAGGCTGACGCGACAACACAAACGTGAATATATTTAACGGGTCATTTCGTCACTCGACCGCGGAAATGGCAGCAAAAAGATATACAATGTAAAATACCTCGACTGTCTGACGGAGTGGTAGTGGTAAGGGCTTCTCCGAAAGCTCTTGCGCATCGGTTCGGACAGGATATCAGACATCTTGGCCGGCAAGTCCACGCGGTGACGTCACTACCCCCCCCCGGTGGTGGGCTTTACGTCGCGTTCGAGAAAGCGTGCGGACTTGTACCACGTAATTCTAACTCGACTCTTTTTTTCGCACGTGAGATTTTTTCCATTGCGGGTCAAATGTTACATTTTATTTAGATGAAAAGTAGATGTATGTTTTTTCAATAAATAACATTTCATTTGGTCAGATTTTGGAGCAACAGTCATTGAGGGAACAAGAAAATTGTAAAAATTCTGAGGTTTATGAAGGCAGCACACGGCTGGGATTCATTGTTAGTTAATAAAAGGCACCACTGTGTATGGTTTAGTTGCACATTTTTGTATAAGTAACAATCTCTAACTCCGATGGTCCAGTGGTTAGTGCTTTGACCTCACAGTGCAGAGGTACCGGGTTCAATTCCAGCTCTGGCCTCCTGTGTGGAGTTTGCATTGTCTCCCCGGGCCTGCGTGAGTTTTCTCCGGGTACTCCGGTTTCCTCGCACATTCCAAAAACATGCATGGCAGGCTGATTTAACACTCTAAAATTGTCCCTCGGTGTGAGTGTGACCGTGGATGGTTGTTCGTAATTTGTCTTGTGTCAGTTTACAGTAAACTTCAACTGGGAGTGAGAATTAAAGACTTGAAGCATGCACATTTTAGTCTAATTTGGAGAACTGTGTGAGCAGCAGAGTGAGAACAGGTGCTAAGGAATACTTTCAAAATATGTTTATGTGTATGCTCTGTACATATCATTCACAGTACTGTATTACAAATACTTTAATGTCCATAATACATTGCATCAGTTGATTCCAATTTCTTTACTGTCATCACTCAACATTGAAAAATGTCTGTTGTTCCCCAGTTCCACGCCATTCTTGGACAGGCTCGTGATCGGCCTCGCCGCGCCGTTCACTCTGTCCATTCCAGCGGTCATCGGGCGTAACGGCGTCACGCCTCGGTTTTGAATCACAGAGATCTCGTTGTTCTTCAGGGCCAGGCTGCTGGTGATGGCGCTGGCGTAGCGGCTCCAGAAGCCGGCGTCCACCTGCATGGCTCGGGCGGCAAGGTCAAACTTGACGGTGTTTGAGCCCAGTAGGGCCATTGGATTGTCCACCGAGAGACGCCGGCCCCTCCTGGCTGGCGTGTTGTTCCACATGTGTGTGCCCATGTGAACCTGCAAAGGGACCAGAAAAGGGTAGTGATCAAGAGATGCTAATTTCAGAGTTAGCATTCATTAGGCGACAAGTGTCAAAATCAAGGCCTGTGGGCCAGATTTGCTATTGCGAGAAATGAGAATTGTTTTGATTTATTCCTCCCATACCTTTCAAATACACTTACAGCTTATTAAATCACACTTTTTAAAGTACTCCTTAGCGCATGTTATTACACTCTCGCTGTCAAGAAATGGGAGACTGCCATAAAACTTCTCTTTGAAGAAAGAAAGAGTCAAAGCTTGTCTACTTCATGCTGTCATTTGTCACTCCCAAGTTTACTGTAAAACTGACAAAAGTACAAAAAGCTTGTGTATTTAAACACCACCAAAATGTTTAGCCAAACCATTTCATTTCAACTAAAGAAAGTCAGTTAGCTTACATGCTAACAATGTAAAATGCTATAGATAGGCTAATGGAAATTAGCAAATATCTTACATAGATTATTAACCTTTAAAAAAAAATTAAAAGCGCATCTACATACAACAAAAGACTTTCATCTATTGTTTATTTAAACACCAAAATGTTCAAACAAACCATTGTAACTGCTGCTGCCTAACATGTTAAGGCACAAAGTGCCTTTAAACAGCCTCTCGAGAGCTCTTCAAATGAAGCCATAAGCAACAATGAATGTGCTTTTTTGTGGCTTTGTAGCGTAATTCAGCAGAGTTTGTTCTGTTTCACTTTTATGCAGGAATGCGCGAGTACCAAGACCAGGTATTGGTACGGGGCCAATAGCGGCCTTATTCAGATATCGAGTAGTTATGGAGGCTGCTGATAAGAGCAATCGATACTTGGGCAAAAAAAAAATCTTGACATGCAGTAAATCCTTCTTGGCAGAAGTTGCCAATTTACCGTGGTCGTTTGACGAATTGGTGCATCATCATCTGTGTTATGAAGAAGGTTTTTTCCTCACATTTTGGGGGGCATTGTGTTAAATTAAATTTTATAAATGTCTACATATGTCTTTGCATCGTTCATTTCCTAAAAATACGACAAACGACTGATGGAGTATGTCTAAAAGAAACAATTCAAGCTGTTGATGTTTTATATTAAATTGACTCCATCCCAATTTTATACAAAATATAATATTTGCATTTTGTTCCCTTGCTTTTGGAATGACGAAAGGTGAAACGAACCAATGGACGTAAAGCCAAGGTACATAGTGAATTGTGATTCTTGGCGTACCATAACAGGCCTCGTAGGGTTTTCACTGTTATAACCGATCCCCCTAAGGAGAAACCTTAACTATGATCTGGCTCGCAGTGAAGTTTGACACCCCTGTGTTAGGCCTACCTTCAGATTCCCCTTAGTGGTGAAAGCTCGACCGCAGACGGAGCAGACGAATGGCTTCTCGCCGGTGTGCGTGCGCTCGTGGATCTGGAGCGCGCTGGCCGAGGAGAAGTTCTTCCCGCAGGCGCTGCAGTTGTGCTGCTTCGGCATCCGGCGAGGGTGCGGCGGTCCGAGCAGGGGGGCTATTCCCGAGCTGGCGACTGACGGGTAAGTGGCTGATAAGTTGATGGCGAACGTCGGGTAGGGTTCCGTGTAACCGTTGACCTCTGACTTTATTGATTGGGTTGACCCGCTGGTCAACAGTTGGGTGACGCCTTGAGTTCCCGATTTGGCTTGTTCTTTCTTTACAGACGCCGCAAAATGTTCCCAAAATTCAGTACTTGGCGCAGGTGATAAAGGCGGCGTCGCAGGGGGGCTGGTGGTTCCCAGATTCTGCATCCCTTTCTCTGTTAGCGAGCATTCAATCTGGATCTGGTCATCGTAGCCATTTGTGAGAAATGTATCCCCAGAGGTGCTGAGGTTTACCGAGGAGTCCATCAGATGGTTCTCGAGTGAAGATTTAGGAGGACTGACCACATTTTCACCCTCCTGTACTCCTTCTGCGTCATCGCCCTCCACGGAGACATCATCGACAAGGTCACTGCTGCCGGGACTGTCCAAGTTTTTCTCATTCTCACCCTGCTTCTCCGGACCCCCATCCAGCGGAGGGGAGTCGGTGATCTGACCAACCATATGCATGCGGATGTGCTGCTGGAGGACCACGGCGTTCGTGAACCTCTTCTGGCAAATGGGGCACGAGTGTTCCACATGGACCGGCGGGTTGTCCCTGTGAACGACCACGTGGGTCTTCAAGTTGCCCTTGGTTGTGAAAGCCCGACCGCACACCTTACACTTGAAGGGCCTCTCGCCCGTGTGTATGCGGTAGTGCATCTTCAGCGCGCTGGGGCAGCTGAGGACGCGCTTACACAGGACACACTGGTTGGCTTCCGTCATCTTTTTGTCGATGTTCTCCACCAGCTGCTGCAGCTTTGAGGTTTCCGAGGTTTCCATCAAGTCCAGGAGGCCGCCAGGTGAAAAATCTTCCGGGTTGCCCGGCAGTGGCGAGTGGGAGCTGGAGATCGGAGACAGTGATGCCACAGGTTCCGGCGTGGTCGCTAAAGATGTGTAGCTGGTTTCCTGGGTTACTTGAGTGCCTCTCCAGATCTGCGTGTAGCTTTGCGGCAGATGTACCTCTTCTGGTTTTATACCGCTGGATCCCTCTTCCTCCTGGTTGGACTGTCGAGTGTCTGAAACCGGAGACAATCGAGCCTTGATGCCTCTCTGGCTTGGTGACACGCACTCGCCCAAAGTTGGCTGGTACGTGATTTGAACAGATGGCGCTGTACTTGAAGGCTCACTGGAGCCCTCGATGCTGGTTCTAGTGGAGGAGATTGGAAGACCCAGGGAGGCTGACAAGGTTGTTAAGACAGGCTTGCTATCCAGCCAAGACGGGACGGCTTTTTCTGGTGGTACGATCATTCCGTATGGAATCCCAGAGCTTGTTGGCACGTTGTCCAGATACTCTGGAACGGGGTACGGGTTCATCTGGACTTCGGGATACTTGTCTTTGTGCCTCTGGAAGTGCACTTTCAAGTTGCCCTTAGTGGAGAAGCGGTTGCCGCAGATGTTGCATTTGAAGGGCCGCTCTCCAGTGTGCGAGCGCAGGTGGATCTGCAGGGCGCTGTCGCTGCCAAACACTTTGGCGCAGAAGCGGCATTTATGCTTGAAGAAGGGCTCCTCCAGGCCGGGCTTTGTTTCAAACGACGACGCGCTGGGCGGCTTCCCCTTCCGGTATTTTAACATGGCCGCCAGTGGGTCGAGCGCATTGGCCGTGGCGGCAATGCTGGCTAAAGGATTGGGGTAGATGACACTTTTGGAGGGGGTGTGGGGTAAGTAGGACACACTGCCCTGTCCCAGGGAGAGAGGATTTGGAGAGCTCAGGGTCTGAGCGCTGCTGCTTGGATGAGAGCCGGCGTAAGGAGGCATTAATGCAGAGACACGGCTGCAATCGGAGAGGGATGAAGCGGAGTTTTCCGAGGAAGAAGCTGAAGTACACACAACGTCTCTGAAGACCGGCTGGCTGCATACGGTTTCCGATGGGGGGTTTCGTGACATATCAGGCAAGGTTGAAAGCGAATCGGGAGCTTGGTCATTGATGTCGGATGGTGTATTTCCCGACACCGACGGGACCCCGGAGGGGTTCGCCGCCAGGCACAAGGGTCTGGACACGGGGTTCAAGGCCTCCTTGGTCGACCGCTTGTTCATGGTGGCCACCTGGCTACAGATCTGCTCGATCAGGTGCAGCTGGTGGACCTGTTGCTGCTGCAAAGCCAGCAAGTGCTCCAGGATGAGCGGGATGGCGGCTGAGGCCACACGCCCGCAAGCGCCGCCGCCTACCCCTTGGGAGAACTGAGCGACGGCCACCCTGGTGCTGTGCAGAATTCCGAGGGTCACGTTAGTGTTGGGGAGCGGTTGCCGAGTCTCGGCGGAATCCGCCGGAGAAGGGCTAGAGGCGTATTTGTCCTGCGGCCCAAGTTCGACGTCCATCGCCTCATCGAGGCTGTCACAGTCGGTCAACGCCGACTCTCCCGCTGACAAGTCGCTCGACTCCACGCTGGGGACCGGCGAGGGTTCCGTCGGGGGCTGTGACGCACCAACGCCAATCAACACCGGGTGATTTTCGACACAGGATTTCCGATGCTCACTCAGCTCGTTCCAGTCGAAGAACTGCGCGCAACACTGGTGGCAAACGTGCGTGTCCTCACAGGGAGGGGAACTTCCTGTCCCACTGGGGTCCTCTTGCTCCACGTCTTCCTTGGAGTCTGGCAGACAGATGGAGGTGATGGGATAAGTTATTTGTCACACCGTGTCACGTGGAGAATCACAGGAATTTACCTTTTTTTTGGGGGGGGGGTATTTTCTTTGTGGTCTACTTTGCTTTTGTTCTGTGTGCAATATTACAAGAATAAAGACTGATTATGTCAAGATAAAAACCGTTTGAAGTTCCAGAAACCTCTCAATATTACTTTTTATTTTGAAATGATTAAGAAAAAACAGGACTATGTTGTAGGGGTGAACCTCTTGTGTACGCACTTAAAAAAAAAAAAGATATGACAATAATTCATTGCAAACTATTTTGCAGACCCCCAGGGGGTCCTCAGTCATTTTAACACTTTGCCCAAATGTTTCTCACACACACACACACACACACACACACACACACACACACACACACACACACACACACACTCGTCCTCAGATGTTCATAATCTGTCGGAAAAATCAATGAGCTTCAATAAAGTTATCTGACCTCTCAGTTGTGCTTTGGGACAGATAATGAATGTCCATATATGCCATAGATTTTTTTTTTCTGCCTGTGTTTATTTAATTCAGTCTCATGGAAAAACAGGAAATGAGGGCACTTTTGGGAAATTTTAAGAACAGCCTCTTTGTCCTCGACATCGGACAGAAGCTTATAGACAACTTGGTGCGATGACTTTTCATTCAATCTGTTCAGGCTTCGCGCCATTAGGGAAGCAGGCAGCAAAAAAAAAAAAAAACAACAACAGATGGAAAGAGTCGACTTGATAACACTCTTTGCTGCACCAGCTTGTGTCCGGGAAATAAATACGATCAGATCGAGATTTTTGCGGATTTTTGGAATTCAACCGTGTGGCGAGATCATCAACATGTAGCATGTTTCTATTTATTATCGCATTTTCTTTGTTTTGGTTGTCGGTGAGCTGGGGTCACCCCCGGACTGGTTGGCAGGCAATCGCAGGGGGCACAGATAGACAAACAACCATTCAAACTTGGAGGCCAATTTAGAGTCTTCAGTGAAGCTTCCGTGCATGTTTTGGGAGGCCGGGAAGATTCAAACCCCACCCTGATGGGACAGAACCAAGATTCAAACCCAGAACCTCTCCGCGATGAGGCAAACCTGCAAACCGCAACGTCACCATGCTGCCCCCATGCTGACATTTTCCTCATGTTCTACTACAGATGCCGTGACCCCGAGCGGAGATTCAAACCCAGGACCCCTCGACCGCGAGCCAGCCTTGCATACCGCCTTCCACTGTCTTGCCCTCATATTGATTTTCTACTCGGAAAATGCTTGAAAATACGGTCAAAATGGCCAAAAACCGAAAGAAATCAATTCATATGTGGATGAGTGTGTTTATGTGCAGCTTGAATTGAATGCATTCATACACCAGTGTGCGACCAAGAATCAAACGGGGAACTTGCAACTGAGAGGCAAATTTGTTGAACGTTACTCCAATGTGCAGCAACATTTCTATTTAAAAAAAAAAAAAGCTTGAAAAACAAGGTGAAAGAAACCTATACGCGCGTGTCCTTTTAACTACATTCTTTTTGGGAATTGGACCTATTTGAAAGAGATTTTAGATTTTTTTTGTTTTGTTTTCAAAATTAGCCTCATAATTGCTTAACTGAATCAAACTACTTCATTGTAATGAAGCGTATTGAAATCCTACTCGGTTCAAATTTCTACTTAACCCTTTGAGGGACAGCGGTTACTACAGTGGACGGTTTATCATGTTATCAGATTACAGGGTGCATGAAAGGGTTAAAAAAACGGAACATGATCAATTTGTGTTTTTAGAACAATTACCACAAATCCTCATGCAAACGCAATTTGTTTGCATTAAAAAATGTAAAAAGCATTAAAAAAAAAAAAAAAAGACAGCGATCCACTTTTTAAGCCTGACAATACAAGTGTGCAATTAGCGGCGAGTGAAGGCAATCGATGCCAAAGTAAATCAGCAGCTCACCAAGTGGGTGGTCTTGGGCAAAAAATAAAAATAAAACAAATCTCGAGGCTCACTTTTATCCGAGTTACTTCCAAAAAAAACAAAAGGGTAAGCTGTTTGTTTTTATTTCCAGCTTTGAAATATTTCTCAAAATATAATACAACTCGTGCATGTATGGTGAGCTTTTCCAACACTGGAATTCACTCCATAATAAAAGGAGCAAGGCAACAGATTTACGGCCATTCCAGCCTGTGTGGTTTTAGAAGCGGAGGAACCGTAGCCGGGCTCTCTTCTCGGCCTCGCTGCCTGACCTTTCAACCTCTGATGTACTAAAGTCTATTATGATGCAGACACGAGGGGGTCGGGGGGGCTGACTGAGGTTAAGCCATAGGCCAGGACCCCCTATATAAAACCCGTGGCCGATTCCGAGTTAAACATGTCAAATGGCATCACGTGCGTCAAGAAACTTTCGTGAAATGGATCTTATTACACTACAGCAATTCTAACCCAATTTACATTACACTCTCCAATCCAAACGGTGCTTTTTTTTTTTTTTTTTTTGCTTTCCTATTAATTCAATCCCGGCAGCATGAAAAGGGTTCAAATAACATCTGCTCTCCCCGTCGATGAATAGAATTATACGGCAATTAGAAAATATGATAACATAGGCGGGCGGATCTGCTTACAGATGTTATTGTTATTATGGTAAAGACAATAGTAATTATAGGATTGAGATAAAGAGACTGTGTTTGTTGTTGAGGATGATTGAACTTCACGTTTATGCTCAGCCTGTTCAATTGAATAGGCGAGAAATACAAACAAATATGGAAATAAAACAGTTTGAACTTTCTGTGGTGCGGCAAGGATGAAAATGGAAGAATAAAAAAAGGAAAGTTGAAACGATTGGAAGGCCTCTGCGAAGAACAAACATTCTGCTATATTAAACTCAAATCGTGTTTAAGAAATAATAAAAATTTGGGACTAAAGACACGGAGCCACGGAATGTATCTGTAATCATATTTGTTAACTTCAGTGCGAGAGTCCATGTTTATTTTTTGGGGGCAAATATATTGTCTATACGTAAACAGATATATGTATATAGATGAGTGTGTACATGTATGTATCTAAACAGAAATACATTTATACTCACATGTGTATGCGTAGAAAGGTTATATATTAAATTATATTTGTTTTCAGACAAAGTAAATAGACTTGACGTCCTAAAACGTTCACTTTTTTTTTTTTAAACAGCACGTAAGTACGAAAACTACAAATAAAGTTCAAAATACGATGCGACGTGAACTTCAATTTCGTATTACAAGTAGTTAAAATGAATTCCTCTTTTTTTTTTTCCTCTCTCTCTCTTTTTTTTGCTCTCAACTTCCACGTACCGTCATGGCGGACGAAGTGAAGGCCGCCGGGGGCTTCGTCGTGTCCGGCTCGAAGGTGCTGCGGCTTGGCTTGCTTGCGCCGGGACATGTTGCCGCCTGCACGCCGCCGCCTGGCCTGCGGTTAGTCAGGCTCGCAGCGACCGGCAGCCGGCGGGTGCGAGCGGGCTTGCCGAAATGAGCTCACGAGAAGGCTGCGCTGTAGATGCCCCCCCCACCCGCACCCCCCAGGTGTCGATTGCGCATGTCAGTGTGATGATGAGAATGATGATGATGGAAAAGTAGGTGGGTGGGTGTGGAGGGTGGGGGGCGGGGGGGTGTCACGCTTTTAGGACCCTCGCTCAGCTGGGATTGGCGAATTTGTGCGGACGGAAATGAGCGATGACGTTCCCTACCTTTGCCTTTTTTTGGAGGGCGGTGGAGGCGATCAGCTGCTTTTTACGAGCAACTTCAGAACCGGTCCAAACGGGACGTCCTGGGTGGTCCGCGCATGGTGTTTAATCCCACTTTCGCTCACAAAAACAAAACAAAAAAAAAAGATCCTGACGTCGCATGATGGTCGTCAAACTTGCGCGTAAAAGCGACTCGGGGTGTTCGGCGTGGTTCTATCGGCGGCTGACCGAGGCTCGCTCCTCGGTTCGTGCCTCCTCTTCCTCCCGGTGTGCATCTGCGTGAAGCTCCATGCGGTGATTCGCTGCGCGTGTGCTGCACCTCCCAGACTTCAAACACTGGAGAAAACATGGAGAAATGGTGGCTGAATGATGAGCATTAACATACATGCCATTTTGCATCCCATACTCCATTTTAGGCTGTAAATGGAGAAATGGTGGCTGAATGATGAGCATTAACATGCATGCCATTTTGCATCCCATACTCCATTTAAGGCTGTATTTTTTTTTTTAATTATTCGTATGCGTAATTGCTGAGAGAAAAAAACAATGAAACATCGTGTGTGTCTTTGTAGATGAATGCTGGGAGACAATCTTTTCATCTGAGAATCAAAAGTGGTTGGTTTGGGGGGTATTGCGGCGTGAATGTCCATCTCGCAGCATTCACTCTGGGAGACAATCTTTTCATCTGAGAATCAAAAGTGTTTGGTTTGGGGGGGTATTGCGGCGTGAATGTCCATCTCTCAGCATTCACTGTTCATACTTACCTTCCATCCATCCATTGTCCGATCCGCTTATCCACACAAGGGTTGCGGGGGGTGCTGGAGCCTATCCGGGCGGGTGCCTAGCCCATCCGTCTTCGGGCAGTAGGCGGGGGCCACCCTGAACCGTTTGCCAGCCAATCACAGGGAACACAGAGACGAACATCTGCGCTCGCACTCACACCTCGGGACAAATTTAGAGTGTTCAATCAGCCTTCCATGCATTTTTTTGGAATGTGGGAGGAAAGCGGAATACCCGGAGAAAACCCACGCAGGCACTGGGAGAACATGCAAACTCTTAGTTTGCATGTTAGTCTTCCGACATTTCTGCGTGTCATTCTGTGGGACAGGCATCCACACAAATACAAAGCGCATGACAAACGACAAGCTTTGAGTTGCACATTCAACACACTTTTTCCATTACAGTCCATACGGATGAATGTTAAGAAAGAAGCTTTCAGTTTCCCGCGAAACACGCTTCCTATTAGGGCGTGAATGCTGAAGCAAGCTTTTATTATATTCTGTGTACTGCGTGAATGCCCACAGACAAGGAGTCACGCCGACACTTTATTACATATTGAAATTACTGATTGCCTGGAGACGTGCGTTAAACTGAAACAGACAGTACATTCAAAACACTCGTTTATTGTCAACATGTGAATGCTGAGGCTCGCGTTCAACTCTCCATGAAACCGTTTCCTTATTATCACGTGAATGCTGGGACGCGCTCTCGAAAACCATCAAACCGAGGTGAGTGCCGACAGACTCAAACAAAAGAATCACATTTGTTGTACTCTTCCCTGTGAGATACGAAGTCGCGGAATGACAACAAATCGACGCTTTCGGTCCTTGGATGCTGAGTGAAGAGCACTCCTTGACGCAAACAAAGCTGTAATCCTCCTTTTCAACCAGCATTGTGCCGAAACTTGTAATCATGTGCTGTGAAAAGATGTACTTTGGTGGAGGGAGTAGAAAAGAGAGAGAGGGTGTTTGAGACCAAATCAGCTGTTGATAATTGCGAGTACGTCACACAAGCGGCCCGCTATTGATCACCGCGTCGTTTTCTATTGCGCTGCTTCGAGGAGATAAGACCCGACTTTCCTCTCCCAGGCCGGAATAACATCTCTTCGGGAAAGCATCGCGTTTGCTTATGATGAATAGCCCATCGCTTTATCGGGACGCCCCGGCTTCCTTGATTTGATATTGATTCTCGCTAATCGGCGTTGTCCCGTCGCCCTCGGGTGCAATCAAACCGGCCCACAACTTGACCGTGATCTCCTGACCCGATTCCAATTGTTAGCGCCGCGCTAGCTAGCTGGCTGGTGCTACAGAACACGGATGGATTCCAAACGGTACCTCTCCTGACACGATTCGAATTGTTAGCTCCGCGCTAGCTAGCTAGCTGGCGCTACAGAATACGGATGGATCCCAAACTGTATCAAAAGCAATAAATAAATAAATAAAATAAAATATAAAAACACGGCAAAGGGTTCCTGGAGCTTAAATAAGTTATTTTAAACTATAAAGGAAAACCTTTACATAGTTAGACATGGCTGCATTAAGTGTGGAGGTGTACAATTTGATATGTTTTCAAAAAAGTGAGGCTGGGAAAGTTTGCTAATCATTGTACTCTGATATTTTTTATTTATTTTTGGGGGGGGGGGGGCAGCGGTAC